CGCCCGCGCAGCCCTGCTCCCCTTCGCAGCCCTTCCCGGGGCGGGGGGATGCGTCGCTGTGGTCACCGATAGCTGGCGTGGGGTTGGGACCTTCCCGCTTCTCCTTGTGCTTGCTCAGAAACGGCGCTCGGGCAAACAGGGGCCTCCTCCAGAATATGCCGTATGTAGCAGCAGCTGCTGTCACTTCAGTATTTTACACCGGTGGCTGTGAGAGAAAGAATCCAGGGGTGCAGTTTAAAACAAATGTGTTAGGTCTCCCTTTTTCTTTCCCTCTGTGCGAGAGAGAGATGCCCACTCTCTTCTCGTCCTGTGGTACAGTCATCTGTATGAACTTGCTTTCACTGACTTTGTGTCTTAGAGGTTTGTAAATGCTGCCTCTTTCAGAACCGTAGAATCATTCAGGTTGGAAAAGCCCTCTAAGCTCATCAAGTCCAGCCGTCAGCCCAGCACCACCACGCCAGCTAAACCATATCCTGAAGTGCCACATCCACGCGTGTTTTGAACACCTCCGGGGACGGTGACTCCACCACCTCCCTGGGCAGCCTGTTCCAGTGCCTGAGCACTCTTTCGGTGAAGAAATTTTTCCTGATATCCAATCTAAACCTCTCCTGACGCAACTGGAGGCCATAGGGACAAGGAGGGTCACAGTCTTTATTTTTAAAGAGAACTGTAAAAGGATGCAGAGAAATTCAGGAGCCTTAATTTGAAGGATTTCGTTTACAAGGTCTTCCCAGTTGCTTTTTGCAGAGCTTTCAGCCACAGCTTAGCAGTTGGTATGAGTTCTTGTCAAACTTCCCAGTTTGTTCCCGAGTCCCAAATTTCATAGAGTGACATAGGTGGGAGCGCGTTGTCCTGCAGGCGTGTGCGGAGATACCAGCTCCAGGTACCAGCTGTAGAAGAGGTGCTCGTACTCCGGGGGCCGTTTGCAAGTGTCGTGTACTTGGGAGCACAGGCCACACGGTGGCAGCCAACACAAAATAACAGCGTCAGCCCTCTGGGGTCTGAGGGCCGGGACAGGAGGAGGGAGCCAGTTTAAGCAGCTGTGGTGGTTAGAAAGTTCTCCGGCAACCCCGTGTTTTCACAGCTGCAGCTGTGTTTGTCAGGCTTGTCTCAGCTCCGGGCTCGAAGTGACTGACAGCCCTGAGGAAACAGCTGCCTCTCTCGGAGGTGGGGGCACTGTGAACGGAATACTAGCCATGTCTCGCTCTTTAATTATTTCTCGTTGCTTGGGGTTGTGCTAGAGGACCGCTTTGGGCTGGCTGGGCTGGGTCGCGGGGTGGCCGGAGGTGTTTCCAGTGGTTCGTATCAGAAGACTTGTGCTGCTTGTGCAGTGCGGTCGATATGCTGGCGGGAGATCTGTTTCCTTCCATCCAGATGCTTTCCCATGATCGTGCTTTGCTTTTTGGCATTCCCCGTAGCTTACCTCTCGCAGCAGGTCACTGATGGGAAACAGAATAGGAGGCCTAAGCAGGAGGCGGTCTGAGGCTTTGCACATCAGTCTTCCCAAGTTCATTTGAACTTTTGGCAGTAAAGGAGTTCCTGCCTTGCCTGGAGGACTAATCAGCAGAGCTCCGAGGAAACCTGCCTTCCTCGTCTGTAAGCCTGGAGCAGCGTGTCACCAGTAACCCTCAGAGCGCTGGTGAACCTGGCTTGATGAAACTCTGTTGTAGTTAGCTCTAGCTCTTAGAACAAACCTAATGCATGCAGGGAAAACTGTCCTGTTTCGCATTCCCAGAAGCTGGAGAGTCAGAAACCGAGCACAGGTTTCCTGCTGGACAACGACGCACTGCTGTCTTGTGGCAACCTGTGTTTGAAGTACAACGTTGTTAGATAACGTGGTCATAGCTGATGATACGAATTTATTTTCTCTTGCTCATTCAAATTGCTGATTAACTAAAAATAGTTTGAAGGCTCACAAGGTTTCTTGTTTTATTTGAATTTCAAGTAAGAAAATATGTTAGTCAATGTTGAGGTTTTTCCAAGACTTCAAAGAATTAGTTCATGTTTTCTTTTTACTGCACCATCCACAGACTTTAGACATGGCTATACACGTTTTGTTCTTCCTCTGAATGTGATACCTCTGTGGTAACAGTCTTTGTGCTGTTGTTTGGAAGTAAAACCTACGGCAGCGTAATAACTTCACTTACAAAGTGAGGGATGAGCTTATGAAGAGTATGAGCTTTTCAATGGGATGCATTTGTTTTGCGATATATACCAGGAAAGGAAAAAATGAGCTTAAGGGTAAATGTACCTTATTTGTCTTAGTCCATTGGCTGGGCTCATTTGCACTAAAGCCCTAATCCCGACCTTAATGATGTAATGGCTTTCTTAACTGGGTACCAGATTACGTTTGACTGCTCTCCTAATTTGTTCTTCTTTTCAAAGGATAGCACAACAACAAGTGTTTTCATTAGGAATTATATCGATTTAAATGAGACACACAACACTGAGGTTGTAGGTTTTTTTTATCAGATATTGTATTGCTACGGACTCGTTATTGCTTCTTTTAGCCACGCACTTTTGCAAAAATATTTTGAAAATGATCAAGAGGAAGGTATGTTTTAGTTCACCTTAGGAAAAGTCTAACAAAGTAGAGGTAGCTTTGCTGACAAACAGCATAATAACATCTACTATCTGAGTTAGTGTGCTCTTTTAGAGCAAGTCGTTTCTGTCCTATGGCAGGAAAAGGGAATAAAATAAATAATGGTACATTTTAATTTCCTTGCTTTGACCTGCATGAATAATGGACACACTTTGCATGTTCTTTTCCCTCCCCGCTTCATATTTTGTTAAGCTGAACAGATTATTAGTGTTTGGTTTCGTTCCATTTTGGGTATGCTTGACTTCAGTTAAATAATCGTCATGGCACAGCTGAGCCATGTCCTTCAACACTCTTGAGCTTCCTGGGTTTTCAAATACAATCACAAATGTAATAAAGCAGTATATTTCAGAAGGTTCTGGCACAGCTGTGCATAGTTGCCGTGAAGAAATGCTGTTCTTTTTTGCATTGATATGTTGGATGTAAGATAAATTATGAAGTAAGACATAAAGACTTGAGCATTTTGGTGGAAACAGGTAAGATGTTATCATTCTCTTAAGCTTTGTGTAGATAACTCTTCAAAGCATAGTCACTGCAGAGTGCCTGAAGAATGACTCAGTGACACACTTTCAGTTGTCATTTGAAAACAGGACTTCCCAAAAGTCGACTCAGCATTACAGGTGAAGAATGGGAACTGATGTGCTTGATCCTTTGTTATGTTAAAATTAGACTTTCTAGTTTGAAAGGAGGTTATCAGGTAGATGCAAGTTGAAAAATACAAATTATTTTCTTCCCAAAACACGGATAATACTTAGTACCTATAAGGAAGTTGAATTTTGTTTCAGTCGTCTAAATTCAGTCAGTCGTGATTTCAGCACATCATTTTACATGTAGTTTGTGTGTGAACCACATTATGCCTGTTTTGAGAGAACTGCTATCCTACAATTTTGTTGTAAAAGAAATGAACATTTCTCTATCTAGGTATAATTAGGAATGGAACCCTCGTTTGTAAAAGCCTGGTTGAGAAGTAGGAGAGTGGTTCAGCTGGAGTGCGTGAATGGGAGGTTCTTTTCTGGTCGGATAAGAAGCTCTTTTGGCCACAGTCTGCTTTTCCTTAGAGCCAACACTTCAGCTTCAGACTATTAGACATCTCTTAGTCATTTTCTGTCCTGTTTTTGCTGTCTTGATAAGACCAAGAGTCTTGGAACTGGCAGAAAAATACATTTCCTATCATAAGCATGTAAGTAAGCATGAAAGAACATGAGACCAGGTATATGGATCCCATAAAAGGAGAGAAGGAGAGGGAGGCTGTGTGAGAGTTTCTAATGACAGTGCTGTAGACAAAGTATTTCTGCTTCAACATTTTATGTGTGTCATATCTATTCCTTGCAGTTTGAAATTTATCTTCCAGCCTGTGAGCTAGAGGAACAGTTCCTAAAGCATGCATCATAGCTGTAGGCTTGAGCCCAGAGTAGAGACGGGGACCTCATTTTCACATGCGCTGTGTAGGGCAAGTGCGTTCAGGCCGATGTGGTAGGGAAGGGGCCGTCTGTATCTGGGCAGGAAGATGGTAGCAGGGAGCTGGTGGCTGCCCGCTGCGGCTCATCCCTGAGGATGGCAGCCAGCGGGGAGATATCGGAGCAGACCATGCATAGTCGTCCGGCTGGGTGGCCAACGCTTTGCAAACCTTGAACTTCCCGAGGCAGAGGTGGAGCTGGAAGAAACCACATAAGGAGAACGTGCTTGGGTGGAAAAAGTACCTGAAACTAGTCATTGGCATAAATAAGTTTCAAGATTTCAGAAAGTTATTGGAGTTGCTGTGATTGAAGTGGAACGTGGTCTGTAAACTGATGTGTACAATGATTTTTTTCATAAGGAGAGTTCTGAAAAAACTTTGACTCACGTTCCTATTCCTCATCCCATCTCTTCAATTTTAGCTGGCCTGACTTCAGACCGAGGAAATTGAGGGCTTTTACATTTAGTATATTTTTAATTTGAATGTGTATTTAGAAAGTGGCTTTTGTGGCAGTCAGTTTTAACTACGGGGCAAAATGGGTTTTCAGTTATCTGAAATATACTGCTACTTCGTACCATTATCATTAAATACTTGGCTGGAAAGTCTGTATTGTTGTTTTAACATTTGGTGTTCTGTCTTGGGAATGGGTGGTGCTTCTTAATCTGCTTCTGCTTAAATCGTGGTGGAGAGAGTCATATTTTGTTATGAGGTAAGGCTTCAGATTATTTACTGGCACAGCTCTTCCCAACTGAAAAAATATTTACCGGTGAGAAGGCCGGGTACTACTGGAGTATTAGCTTACTTTGTCTTCAGCCTATTGCCTAGTGCCCGGTAGGTGGTTTGGCACAATGCTTGTTGCTTCCTCTAACCTGCCTGGTGGGACACAGCTGTGCTGTCCACGGAGCACCGGGCAGTCAGTCACCCTGCAGCCACGCGTTCCCCCACGTGGGCATCTCCTCGGCCCTCTGGCCACAGCTGCCCGTAGCATCTGGTTCCTGTCAGATGCATCCTCTTTCTGGGGACCACACGGTGCCTTTGCTTGGCAGGTTGGGTGTGATGCTTTCGTAGGTCTTTTCCATCTCTAACGTCTGTGATTTGCTTCTGATGTAGGAGATAAGCCTGCACGTGCCTCCCAAGGCTTGCTGCTTGCTTTAGTGATTTACAGGCAGTCAAAAGAGTAGGTTACGGCAAGAAAGGAAAAAAAGCAGGGGAGGCTTGGGCACAACTTCTTGCGAGTGAAACCAAAATGCCCTGATGGAGATCACATAAATCTCTTCCAAGGACACCCAAAATTCTGTAAACAACTATTTTGCTTTCAATGGACTCAGTCTTTCAGTCAAAGAAGTTTCTGATTATAATTTTTTTTAAATACTCACAAGGGGGAAAAAGATTCTGTAATGTGTTTTTGAGATATACTTTTTTGACTCTCCAGGAACTTTTTCCATAGTTGCACATAAAATACTTCCTTATGGCAAGAGAATTACGATTGTGTCTGTGCCGCCTTTCTTCTTTTTTTTTCTTTACTTTTACTTTTTTTGTGAAATAAGGAGAAGGAAATCATGGGAAGGCTCTGAGATCAGCGTGTCTTCAACCCATAGGACAACTGTTTGCCGCCATGTCATACAACTTTTTTCATGCAGGAGGTGGGGCAGGGCACTGAGGCGAAAGGTTCAGCTGGTTTTCCCGTACGTTTAAGGGTATGTGCAACGTTAGCCATCCAAACTAGTGTTAACGCTGGCCTCAAAAATGATTGTGTTCAGCTGTTAAAAACATTTTTGAACATCATGATCGGTAGTCATAGAGATGAATATTTGGTCAGGTCAGTTGTCTTCTGGGGTTATAGTTATATTGGATCAATTCTGTCATAAGTATGTTGGCTGAATATTTGTCAAAATTATTACTTGTTGCATACAGCTCTCAGCTGGTTCATAGCTTCATGATGCCAAGTGGTGTGCAAAGCTCTTCGTCCTTGTCCCAGAGGCTTTGCATGGGATGACACACCTGACTTTCAGTATATGAACTATACCTGCTAGATTGTGAGTCACCATTTTGTTAGAAAAAAGACTGGATTCATGTGACGGAGAGTAATCACTGTTTTTTTCTGTGTTGATGATGTTGACTGTTAAGGCAGAGGCTCCATCCTTTTGCAGGGGCAAGTGGGTCTTCAGCATAGTATTCTTGGTACGCAAGTCATTGCAGCATCTTTTTATCCAGATTTGCTTGCAGATTCCTCAGTGTGATTTGACCTGACGCTGGTCAGGCGTTGTGACTTCTAGGAGTGTCGTGTAAGCTGATATTCGCCCCAGATGCAGGACTGTAAGCGGTTTGGATAAGGCTGAATGACTGCTGAGACTGTACGTTTGCAGGCAATCACAGGAGTCTTGCAGGACTTCTGACTGGAGCCTGGGTCAGCTCATTGCGTTGGTCATTTGTCAAGCAAGTAAATCTTCTCCCACGCGTTTGGCTTTGTTTCCACATGTGGATCTCTAAGGAGGGTTAGGCCGTCCTCATGTCCTCTGAGGGGAAGACGGGGCTATTTCAGCTTTCTGCCTTTTCCACCACAGCTATGCTCTTCGCCCCTCCTGGGTGCTTGGCTGTGCCAAAAACCTGCTATCCTGACAGGATTTGTAGCTGTTCTTTCTTGGCAGTGTTGGGCAGGGTTGCGTCAGAGCACTTGTGGCCAAAAAAGAAGCTGGAACACTTGTCAGTCACAAATCAATTCATAGAGAGGCTCACTGAGTTTGTGACACTTACTATTAATTTACATTTTTCAAAATATTCAGAAGATCACTGTATCTCTGAAGTAATTTTTGTGTTCAGGCTTGAGGCAGCACTGTGCCCGTATTTTTTTTTTTTTAGTGGATCTTCATTCATCTGCCTCTGGTGCCGTCGCTTCTTTCATAGTGATTCTGATAATTGGTACAGGGCCCTGTTTCCGAGGAGGGAGGCAGGGAAGACACTTATGTCTTTGATTATAAGAATTTTTGTAGTAACCGTTTTTGCTCCAACATCTGTCAGGTTGATCTAAATCGGAGGCACTGATTAGCAAACATGAACTGAGAAGGAAAAAAATGCTTTAATTGGTATTCTTCAAAGGCATTGATGTTTGCAGATCAGGTCATCTTGCATTCCTGTCAGCTGGCCTGGTTTTCTATGGTCAGATAATCTGACTGTACTCTTTATAGTTGCCTATTTACTGTCTTTCAACTGTTCTCTTTCTTCAGTCTTTCAAAGTTATCTTTTTGGACAGGACTTTATGCAATGATAGGGCTTTTTCTTTGAAAGTATGTAATTCCCATTAAATATTATTGGTGCAGACTCTGACCCTACTTCCCCGATTTCACAGTTTGTTTACCTGATTTCATTTTAAGTGCTATTGTTCTGAAGTTTTGTCTGGGGTAAGAATCAAGCTATCAGTTTGGATTTTTTTGTTGTTGTCTGGAAATACTTTGCTCAGAAGACTATTGATGTATAAGTCTGAATATTATAAGATGCGTATTCAACAATGTATTTCTAACGTTAAATACGTGTTTTGTTTCTGGGGGGTGTTTTGGGCTGTCCCTAGCTTCAGCATGCGGATGTGGTGGTATTTGGCAGTACAAAACCCGATGATGTTCCTGTGAGCTGGATAAAGCCTGGAACCACCATTATCAGTTGTGCTCCTGACTTGCTGTCAGGTAAGAGGCGTTAAAAGATAACGGTTTTTGAGAGTGATGTATGGCAAGCCTTCAAGATAAGTGTGTGGCATGTTGGTAACAACGCCATGTGGTTGAAAGCTACATCTTAGGAAGAGGGCCTTTAAAAGTGGGTGTTTGTGTACTGGGGGTGTATACGTGTGTCTCTGATATATAAATAAGAGAAAGATGTCGGGTGAGGGAAGAAGGGCTGGAACAGATTCTTTGTACTAGGATGGTTAAGTGACGATCCTGTGGACTCAAAGAAATCAGAGGGAAGACTTTTGGGTCATCAGATGAGCTGTTATTTAGTGCTGTCTTGTACAGTGTGTTGTCCTTTACTTCAGTGGACTCACCTGGAATGTGGGGAAAAAGAAGACGGACAAAAATATCAGCTGCAAAGTACTGTGAAGCTGTGTGCAGAGAATGGTACAGGAGGTAGTAGAGAAATCATATGTAGCTAAGAACAGGCAGAATGTCTCCTGCAGTAATTACTTCTACAAAATGGGTTTGGATTCCCCTCCCTCCTCCTCCCCTGACTGGTTGGGGAGGGGGTACATGTTGATTAATTTCTCAGTTTAAAAATGCTACAGGATTTTATTAGGAATAAAACTAAGAAAGCTTCCCAGAAGTTATTCTATTCTACTGCTAGAATTGCATTTCCTATAAAATTCCGTAAGTCCTGTGAAGATCTCTAGATAATTTCTAGATTTTCCATATGTGTATGAATCTGACTGTTCAGTCTCCAGTTGGGATTATGCTGTGAACGAACAGGAAAATAAGGAAGTGCATGGGTAGTATGATTGGTTAATAAGTTTTTCTACATCTATCACAAGTGCGCTTATTGACATCTATTGACAGAAATCTGGGGAAATTGGCATAAGGCCAAGGAAAACTAATTGTATTGTTCTTAAACTAGGGATATTCCCTAAGGACAAATTAAGCAGACGATCTGTGCAGAGCTAATGCGAGATCAGGCTCAGAATAAAGCAGCTGCTGTTCCCATGCAAAGCATGGCCTTAGGAAGAGATTCCTTTCCTTGTCTTTCATAATATCCTCTTGACTTGAACATGTGCTGTGGGTGTGGAAGATCTGGGTTATTATTCACTTAATTGTCTGAAGGCATTTGGGCCTTCTTGCACCTCCCAGAATAGTGCTCTGATCCTATGAGGATCTCAGGGGTGGGTACCAAGCCTTGTCCCTTGCTGATGCTGCACAAGTCATCCAAAAATAATTCATGTTTTCTTTTTCCTAGCTTAGTGATTAGGAGACTCCTTGCATCTTTCGTGCCCACTTGTTTTGTGTAGGGATTGTTGGATATAATTGTTAAGTGTCTGTGGGTCAGAGCTTGGAGCATAAGTCTCTTCAGCAAGTACCCAGCCTACTAGTGGAACATACTCTTATGTGAAGGAGGAATGGGGAAGAAAGGGGAAGGGGCAGAGGAGAGAGGGAAAGGTGGTACAGCAGTAGCACCTATAAATAAATTAATGGAAATGAATGGCCCCTCCTCATTTTAATCCTTGTAAGCAGAAACCTCTTAGGTGTCGGACTCGGGGTAGAGGTGCAGGTCCATGAAGGCAGGATGGGGTGCAGGTCCAGTTCAGCCAGGCACTGAACTCTTCTGGCTCCGTGTGTGGCCTGGTGTGAGTCCCACATCCAGATACCTAGTTCTCTCCTTCTGTTGCAGAGGGAATCAGGGTCATCGGAGACCTAAAAGTTGTGCAGTATAACTGCATGCCATGTCTGGAAACTTAAGTATCTTCATGCCTTAATTGCTTTATAGAAATGCAGATAATATTAGTGTTTCCCTTCCCTAACAGAGGGCAGTTAGGAAAACATTAAAACATTCATTCTTAAGGCAGAAGACGTAAGATATGACGTAAGCATATATATTTCTTTGCATTTTTCAAGTTGTAGCAGTAGACTGTTCTAAGTACAGCCTGTCACTGGAAAGGCAGCATGAGATTTTTAGCAAGATAATTTAAAGAGAACTTATCTACCAAATCTCCATCTGTCTTTACAGTTATGCTTTTGAGATTGTCAGAATCTTGGAGAAACTCCGAAAGAACAGCAGAAATGCATTTTAGCAGCTTTAAAAAATGCTGGCCTCAAGACTTACTAGAGGTACATGAAATGCAGGTGTCTGTTTGACAGGAAGAATGCACTTAGTTTAATTGAAAGATATTTATTAAAAGCCTATTGTAGAGCAGTCATGACCTTGGAGAAACAACTGAGTCTTACAACTGACTTTTCAATGTGTGGTGGAATCTGGCTGAGGTGCTTGGAAATTGTTCTGGACTTTTTTGTTGCTTCAGAGATGTCCAACTAACATCTGTGGGGTCACAGGAGCTAAATGAGGCCTGAAAGCAACAATGGCCATGAAAGAACTTTAATTCTTGCCGGATAATGCCTAGATTTCTATGTTATGTAGGTATACATGTAGTCTAACACATTCACATGTTTTAAAAGCACTCAAAATTGCGAGGATGTAGGTGAATTGAGCAGCTGTAAGGATGTAAGCCAGGAGAGTAGAGCTAGAAGTGCTTGCTCCAAAGTGGCAGAATTCTTTTTCAAGTATTTTTTTTAATTTGAACAAAGATTTTTAAATTAGCACAGTTGCAAAATGTTCTACAATTTCTAGCAGTGCAACATCTTATTCTGCTGTACTAATGATCTTGGAATCAAGTGAGTGCTGGTAGTGTCTTGCAGGAAAATATATGTAAAGGTATAGAAATGAAAATCAAGTTTCTGAATGAAACTTAAGGATGCTAAAATTATTTGGGATTTGATGTCCAGCTCCTTTGGAGTCACTTGAAAGCTGAGGCCCACGTGGTTTAAGGACATTAGTGGGAAATTCAGCCATTTCCCCACCTCTGCTCTCTTCCAAGCTGCCTGAGCAGACAGTGCATGACAGCAGCTCTCACCCAGCCACACGCTGGGGTACGAAGAGATGGGCGGATGGGCCTTCGCTGGGGGGGAGGAGGGAGCACAATGTCTGCGTTTCAGCTGATCTTCTGGCCATAATCCAAAAAAGAAAGTGCTATTCCAGCTCCATCTGGAAAATTTATCCTAGGAGAGCTGTTGCAATCCTGTGACTGTCTTACTAGCTCATGTGTGCATGACTTTCACCTCTGGCTTCACCTTCACCCCTGCAAAAGCCTGCTTAGTCGTTAGTGGCATGAGTGTGTAGCATAGGCAGCCCGAGAGAAATAGTTTGTTGAAGGGAAATGTCTAATTCTGAGATGTATTTACGCGCATGCTAGCTCTGCCCTGATAAAGAAGTCATAGTAAGCCAAATAACATTAAAAGTCGAAATGTTTCTGTGAAGCACAGCTGTCTGAAAGGGGGTTTTAAACTTCATTCTTTCTACTTCATCTGTCTCTTTGGCAACTCTCCCAGCCTGGTCTCAAAGCAACAGTCAACTTCTGACTCTGATAGACTGTTCCAGTAAAACTCCTCTGTCTGAGTCTAAAACTGAGCATCTCCAGAAGATTTTTATTTTTTTCTTAAATGGCAAGTGTTAATCTGAGTAGAAGGACTTTTCAGACACTTTCTTAATTAGAGTTTAATGTCAGGACTGTCACCTTCTGCTTGCTTAGCTTTGTCACTGATGCATAGATGCCTGCTGGCAAGAAAATTCGAGAGAGGATTAGAAAACACGCTGAATGTGTGAGGCTGAGGGTGGCTGCAGAAAGGGTCTCTTGCTCCCTCGGTGATGGGTGTGAGAGCGAGCTGGAGCTGGGTGATGTGTGGTGGGCTGCGGTGCAGTGCGGTGGGCTGCTCTGCTGTGCTGTGCTGGCTCCTCCGCATGCCTCTGCCTGCTGCTCCGGCTCCAGCTGGAGGTTTCAGTGCCCTGCCTCCACCAGGACCCTTGTCGGGAGGGGTGGTTGTGCAAGGCAACGTGAACATTTTATGATCGGTGCAGATGGGGGATGAGTAGAGTGAGAGCTTGACCAGGTCAGGGTTTGTGCTTCGGTTCCCATGTGGGGGAAAGGTTAAAGCTGTCAGCGTACACTTGTTATTTTTTATTACAATTATGTCTACGCCCTTCAGAATGCGACTAGGGCCTTGATATGCCTACAGAGACTAGGATGTGAATTCTGGAGAAATTGTGTCTAGATAAAAGTCAATAAGCAACAATAGAAGAACAGCAAAAAGAAGGATTACAGGAAAATGACAAAATAATACATTTAGTTAGGGTAGCTAATGCATGATTACTATAGGATATATTGCTACTGGAAACAATTATAGCTGTCTCTAAAGTCGGAGTCACTCTGAATTGTGTAGACTCTTCAGAATATCTACTTTTAATGTCACATTGATGAAGATAACTTTTGCTGCTCAAAAAGTTTTGAATATTATGATTCCAAGTTATAAATTCCATTGGATAATAATCCTAGACAGTATTTTGTGTTCATTTCATTGTTCTGTCTCACTGTAATGGGTGTGTGGAAAAGACGAGTCTTTAGCATGCTCATTTAGGTGTTCTCTTTAGAAATATGTATACCTTTTCAAATCCTCACAGCTGTCTAGCTTGCTTTTTTTCTTGTGGCCAAAAGCAATTATTTGGAATTAATCTCTGTGTTTCCTTATTTTCTTTTTCAAGTGGATGTATGCTTCGTCATATGCATGCATGTGTTTGTGTTATATGCTTCAGAGCATACAGTTGCTCTCTGATTTTCGCACTGTATCCATCCTCCTGGGTGATTTTATTTGAAGTGTTGAAGAAGCTACCTGTAATTTTGTCAGTGACATTGTTAAATTTCAAGTCAACATTCAGAAATTTGTTGCTTGGCCATAGCTTTCGTATACACATACTCCCACTCACAAAAGCTTTGTGATTTATTAGTTTGATACTTCTGTTTTCCAGAGAAACACAGCTACGGTCAGCAAAACAACCATGCTGCTGAAAACGCTGTTGGTTCTCTGGCAATAGCAATGCGAATGCAGGTTAGTGTGACTTCAAACATTGGAAATTTGCTGCTCTTTCTGCAAGTTGTAGAAAATACTTCTACAGTTTAGATTGTAATTTTTTTTTTTCTCTTGTGAACATGTTACCTGCCTTCCATTTTAACAGCAACTCTTAATCAGTCAGTTAAGGTGAGTTGTGCCTGATACGTTTAGTTAAAGAAAGGTAAATTAAAAATCAAACATGTCATAATTCTGTTGATTACAGTAAAGTTTGGCAGAAGCATTTGTATCAATAGACTAATGTTACTTATTCTGGTAGGACAGTGAAAATTAATTATATCTGCGCACATTTTTGTGATGTGATGGATAGAGGGTCCAAAAGTTTGTTGTTTTATGTGGAAGCAGTGTCAGTCAGCGAGTGAACAGTTAATATCTTCCATTATTTTGAAGGTGTGAGAGAAGAATAGAAATTCTCCATAAAATCTCCAGGTGCCTAACTGGAGACTTTTCGCTGCCACTTATGTGGTCATGGTCTTGTTTCTTTTTGAAATGTGGACAAACAATAGGACAGTAATAGTGCAGTGATTTTTCTTTCATCCTAAACCCATGAAACTGAAAGATTTTGAAGTTTGTTTTTTTGTTAGCCTTTGCCGTAGAAGTTATTATTTTGACATACTCTTGAGATCGTTTGAAATTAGTGTTCAGCATTTATGATGCAGCTGGTGTGTGCTGTTTTCTTGTTTAAAAACAGAACATGGTAAAAAACATGGAGCGATGGATCCAGTCCCAGCAGTACAGGAAGTGGGACCTCCGCTGCTTGAAACTGCAGCCCCTCTCCCCAGTGCCCAGGTAATAAGCGCTTTTTACAATTAAAAAAACCAAAGAGCAGGCGAGTGTTAAATGTGACAATGAACCTAAAAATGCTCTGTGCCTAATTACTTTTTAATCTACTTATGTGGACTATCGGTTGTGCCATTTTGTTGTACGCTTCATTCTGACCATGTCCCTCTGTTTCCTATCAATTTTTAATTTTATGATGTGTATTGGAGCCAAGCTTTATAGAATGAAGACCTAAAGCTGGAAGGTTTCATTGAGGGAAGGAGGGTGAAGCCTTGTGTGACATCAACAGAAATACAAAATACAAGAAGTTCCTAATCACTAAACCCTAATGTAGGAGGTGTTTAAGGATCTAGTTAAGGCCCAGTGGTTTCAATGACATTTGATCTTCTATTTATTTTCTTCTCTCAACAGAAGTACTTTCTTCTGCTGTAGACTTTTAAATTCCTGTGTGAATGTGAAAAGCAGGGAGCATATTTATTCTCATAGCCAGAATTTTTCCAATCAGTTCCTGTCATTCACTTCCCAAGGCCCACATCTGGGCCGCAGGGCTTTTGGGTCTGCCTTGGCTAAAGTGCTTTGCTGGGTGTTGGTTGTGTTGAGCAATGGACAGAGGAACCAGGACTTGAAGTGAGGTTCTGCCATGTTGAAAAGCTTTTAAATTTTTGTGTACTTATTTGTATGCCTACTTCTGGACCACACAGATGATGAAGGGACCTCACATTGGAAGAAGGACAGGGAGAGCTGGAACTGCTCAGTCGGGAGAAGAAAAGGCTCCAGGGGATCTTATCAATATGTATAAATACAACGTATGTAAATACAAGGATACAAAGAGGACAGAGCCAGGCTCTTTTCAGTGGTGCCCAATGACAGGACCAGAGGCAGTGGGCACAAACTGAAACAAGGGAGATTCCCTCTGAACATTAGAAAACACTTGCTGTAAGGGTGACCAAGCGCTGGCACAGGTTGCCCAGAAAGGCCGTGGAGTCTCCATCCTAGGAGATACTCAAAAGTCACCTGGATCTGATCTGGGGCAACCAGCCCTAGGTGGCCCTGTGGGCATGGCGGTTGGACCAGATGACCTACAGAGGTCCCTTCCAGCCTCAGCCACTCTGTGATTCTGAATCCCTCTGCTGTGTTTTTGGAAAGCTGTAAAAATTGTTTTCTTTTCTAAGCATTTTGATTCAGTTTTCACTGTCTCTTACAACAGTTTAATGGAAATGGACACAATTGTAATTTAAAACAGAGATGCCAAAAGAACGAGTTTTCAGTTGTACCCAGGGGCGCAAGGGGGAAGAAATGTTTGAGCTTTTCCTGGGGCACCATGTAACAATTCTAGAATTAAAGCCTGAAAAATCTACCCTTAAATAATACGGTTAAAAGGTAGATTAAAGCATGCGATGTCATGAGTGTGATGGTGAAAAAACTCTCAAAAAAGTATTCCCAACCCTCTCTATGACATGTGTTTTTAGCACATGAATATTTACATAATTAACCTATAATGGCATATAATATAACCAGTAATAGGACTTCCATTTATTTGCTATTATAGTTTTATGTCTTTTTTTTCTTTTAAATGTAAAATAACTCATCAGATTGAAAGTATCCTGCAATAAAGTGTAATCTTGCAGTAATACACCACGCTGTGTGGAAACAGATGGAGTTTTCATTAAAAACAAGGCAAAGCTGCTTAAGCACTAAAACTAGGAACATCTGCATTTTGATTTCTGTGAGATCTGGGTGTTAACTGAAGTATTTCCAAAGATACTGGAAATGGAGCAGAAGATTTTCTTACAAATGTGCAGTAAAAAAAATTCCAGCACCCAGGCTGAGTAGATGTGGAGCCTTCTCCCAGTTTCTAAATTTTCCCATATTTCATAAATAATGATTTTTTGCGTAACAAACCTCATTCATGCAGAAGAACCAGTCGCACATTTCCAGCAATGTTGAATAACGTAACTCATTGAATAATTCTGTTTTTTTCAATATAGAGAAGGTATTGTCAATCAAAGAGAGCCTAGCTACAAATGTAGACTTCTGAATGATAGTTATGATCAAATTTTTAATTTCCTGTGTTTTAGAAAATGCATTTACCAGAAATAATAGACTAGACATAAACATTTTGTATGTGTTGTTTAGCCTCAGTAGTAGTTAAGGTATAAATGTCAATTCATTGTGAAATTATGCCTTTTTCACTTTGCTGCATGTATCAGTGTGCAATCACAGCGTGCAATTGATTTAACAACAATCAGTTGTTAAAAGTCTAGTTGCTTTGAATATTCTTGAGGGACCTTAAGATGGGAAAATGACGACAGCAGTGGTTTTACCAATGGAGAACTGTTAGCATCCACTGTCAGTTTTATTCGGCTTCAATAAATATTTGTAATTTTATTTATCTAGAAATTCTTTACTTCTTAAATTATTTGTAAGTGTACAGCTTGGTCAGTTTTGCTTCTTCCACTTTTGCCAGTAGTGGTACCTGCATAGTGGGAAAAGCCTGACTGTTTCTTCCAGAACTGTGAGAGGGAGGTGTTTGTGGCCCAAGAGCTGAGGGAAATAGGAAGGGCTGAGATTGCTGCAGGGAGTCTTGGTAGCCTGGCCTGAGACTTGAAATAATAGCTTCTGTCTTTTAGTAAGGAGGCTGGTATATTTAGGAGGGAGAAAAAAAAAAAAGGCGGATAAACTTTCTGTCTTATTAGTCTACATCCTTATCCCCTTGCCAAATATATCAATTGTTTTAAGAGGAAAATAGTCACCCTACAGATTTTTCTTGTTTAAACCTTTAAGGGACCACACTGTCATCAACTGACCCATATTTTTCTGGGACTCAAGTTGTTTATATAGAGAGAGTTCTGAATGAAAGCTTTAAATATTCTTTGTCATGTCATGTTTGTAAGCCACTCCATCCTGTGTTCTCGATACATTTTAATGGCTAGTTGTGTTTGAAGTAATGCAGAAGAAAATCAAAGGTAGATCCTTCTATGCAAGAGGATGTACTTAGTATGTCTTTGAAAGTAAGCAGATTCCAGGTTAGTATATGCAATGAAATGGTCTGCAACCCAGCCGTTGAGGGCTGTGATTGAGAAGCTCTCTTGTCCTGTAGTGCTGGGTTATCTCAGTGTTTGGCTGGATGATTTCTGGGTTTCACTTAGCTGCTGCAGGGTGCAAAAGTGGGATAGCAGAGAATTAGAATTGAATAATGGTCCCAGTTTAGGATATCCTCAAAGAATTGGAAGCAATTAAGTTGGCACAAACTGATTGTTTGGTGGTGGATGCAGAACAGCTGAAGTCCACACCTAGAATTGAGATCTGGCAGTAGTTCTGTGCTCATATGTGGGTATTTGAGGTCTTGCAGACTGTTTGAAAGTTCAGGACATTAGCTTTGATGCCATTGCCAGATTCTGTCTTAAAAATAATGTAATCAACTGAAACTGCAGGAAGGAATTTAGCCTGGTTAGGCTGGAAGTAATTAATCTCTTGGTAATTTTTTAATTTGCTTTTGTGGTGGTGTGAGCAATTCAAAGCCAAAGGACGCAACTCCTCACATCTTGTGTGCCAGGCCCTGGACTTTACTGCCATGGGAGCCTGCAGCTGCTAAACACTGATGTGAACTCCGGGGGCAGCTAGGTCAAGCTCACAAACGAAAATCCATGAAGGAGTGTGAAATCCAAAGACCCCAGGTGGTCTAGGTTAGGAATTGCAGACACAATAGTGTCCCCCAGCCTACAGCCACCTCCTCTCAGACAGTTCTACCATGTGCGCTTGCTCCAGGCTTGTTCTCTTGCCTCAGCTGCCACTCGCAGTCCTTGCTGGAAATAGTTTATAAGCTCACGGGACTTCTGGCCTGATCCCTGCGTGTTAAAATTTTGCTATGTGACCATTTTCAATTTAGCTGTGTTTTAGAAGTGCGTGAGATGATCCTCAGATGCCTCGTTCCCTTTGGTGCCCTCACGGGGGAGCAGCAAGGCTTAGCTTGGTTGGTGGTACCCTCTGATGAAAGGCGCTACACGCACAAGCATCAGATTTAGCTAATGTGTTTAAGTGACTGTTGGGCAAGGAATGTATGCACTTTTTAGTAAAGTGTATGTGCTGAAATATACTGGGAGGGAGGAGAAGAAAAACAAAACCAGAAACATCCATTCCAGTGGGACGTGCTTGACCATCCAGCAGACACGTCTCTAGCTTGATATGAAAGCATTACGTAACATTTGGAATACGATTAAACGGGAGAACTCTGTGTAATTGTAACAATTAACAAACACTGCATGTGATTTTCAATGTTGCATTAGGTGTTAGCTAATATTTAGGTTTGGTTAATAAAATGTGTGAGGGGATTGAAAAACCGATTACAATAACCCTATTGTTGGAGTATTTGCTGTTGTTTTGTGCTCTGTCGTTGACCACCTAAGCTGAGAGAAATCTCCTGACTCCTATTTGTTTTCTTTTCCAGTGATATTGAGATTTCCCGAGCGCAGAGTCCAAAAACTGTTGATGTGCTTGCCAAGGAGATAGGATTGCTTACAGATGAAATTGAGAGCTATGGCCAAACCAAAGCCAAAGTACGTTTGTCCCTGCTGGAAAGGTTAAAGAATCAACCAGATGGAAAATATGTTCTGGTCGCTGGGTAAGGACGCATAGCAATGTCATTAATATCCACCCTTTGCACTCATATTGATATAAATGTGCAGCTTGCATCTTTTTTAATGCACTTCACAAATAAGAACCCTGAATGTTTACAGCTGTACGTTGCTGTCTTCTGAAAGCGAGCAGGTTTTGAAATTTTTTGAAGTAACACAACTTTTTTTTCAAACTGTTGTTACTGAAGTAAAGTGTGCTTTATAAAACACAGTTTGTTCTAAGCTTCTTAAATGTTGTCTGTTGGTGTGTGGAGTTTTTCTTACTATTTTATCAGAATTTTGAACGTTTAACTTGAATATTTAAGTCTGCATGTATTGTGGCTGTTTATAAATAAACTTTTACAGAAGCTACATGCTAATCTGTTGATATTAACAATAAATACTTTTTTTATTGCAGAACAGATTACAAAGTTTAAAAAGCCATGTTTTTTCTCTGAAATGTAGACATGTCTTCAGGCGGGCTTATCCTGCTCTCTGTTCCCACGATTATGGCAAATGCTGTGCTCAACAGGAATTATGCGCTTCTCTTCTGAAGAGCTACAGGGTTTTTCTGTGTTCAGTGACAACATTTTTTTTCATTCACCTGGTTTGCTAGGTGAAGTTCAAACTTCTAATTGTGAACAAACATGAAGGTTTTCATTAATATTTAATTTGCAATGTATTCTTTGTAATCTGAACTAATCTAAATGGTTGCTTCCTTGTAAGAAAAACCAATCAGGTTGAAAATATACCTTTAGGCAGATGCAGAAGGAGAAGGCTGTTCTTAGCTGGCTTGATCTACCAGTTCCTCAGTTGCGGTAGAGTTTTGCAGACTGTTTGCTTTAGTACCTTCCTGTAGGGGCAACCTGGTTTTCTGGCACTATCTGAGACGGTGTTGTTGTAGACCTGATGTTACAAAGCTGAGGCAGGCAAGTTATGAAGCTGTCCTCAACGCTGCATGGTGGAACTGCAATGTATAAAGATGTTCTTGGAGAATGCTGGAGCAGTTGTTTAACAGAAGGAAATAATAGCTGCTTGAGCCTCGTTTCCTTCGGTAGAGTTTTATTTTGTGTTTTGCTGCTTTGGAGAAAGAAAAGCAGACTCAGCATTTGGCTGAGTTTGGAGAAAGTTGCTACCACGTACTTTCAGGCTTGCGTTGTCAACTGCATCACTTGGGCACCATGCTGCAGGCTGTGCCAGGCTTCTCTAGCAGCAGACTCTCCCAGGAGCAGAGCTCCTTTGAAAGTGTCTGGAGGTGTAAGATAGCAGGATGCAAAGCCCCATTCGGCAGGATTTTAGTTGTGTTAGATGGCATGCACCAATGCTTACATTTCTTCACAGCGCTTTGTCTCCCAGTCTTCTTCAAGGGAGGTATCTCAGGCAGTTGTCTGAACGCTGTTCTGTTGGCGCAGATAGAAGTGTATATCCATGGGAAAGAAATGGGGAAGTTTTGACTAGCAAAGATGAAAAGTTGACAACAAATAGAAAATTGTATCTACTTATGTTTATGTAACGTGTAAAGACTGAATGTGCTTCGCGGACAAATGGCTGGGTTTGGTACCTACACAACTTGATTATGCAGTGTGTTGCTATTTGTAACTTCTCTGAAGTCAGTGCGTTTTGTGGAGTGAGTACAAAGCCGCATCTGCTGCAGGAGGACTGCTTGGGCAGGGCGGCTGCAATAGTGGGAACGTTCTCTTCCGAGAGAGTTCCAGGTTTGACTTTGACGTGTTCTACATATAAAATATAGATGTCGTTTGTGTTTATGTGTTCTCAGCTCCTCTCATTTGCTCAACTGACTGTAGCAGACAATGATTTTAAGAAAAGTGGGGAACTGCATCTAGTGGGGAAACATTCAGTACGGTGAAAACTGAATACCACCCAGGTGTGGAAACTTGGGAAGTGAAATAATATCCTCAGTTACCTGCTTCATCTGCTCCCTGCCAAGGCAAGGTCAACCAAACCCTGCTATTTGGGTTATTTTGTTTGTTCACAATAGCCAAAGACATTTAGAAATTGTTTTAGGATGATGCAGTATAGGTCTTCAGAATAAGTTTTCAGTGCTTCAGAGGAAACATTTAAGATATATGCTTATACTTCAGGGTATTTGGTCCGATGGAAGTATTTATTGTGTATGATGTGAACTTTTCATATGTGAAGGGAGTGAAAAGTGTGTGTGTGTATTCAACAAGCTGCAAAATGTCCAATCTCCATCCATGATGCAGCCAGTGACATTTGTGCCTGTAATTCCCATTGGGTTTAAATGTTTGGTGATGTCTAGGAGTTATAAGTATTTGCTGCAGATGCTCTTCTAGTTTATTCCTGATGTGCTAGAGCCCAAACTTGTTTTGAATAGCAAAAGGCAACCAAATGTACCTTTTTTATCTCTAAGGATAGCTGTATTTATGGCTTTTAAAAAAGTTGCTACTAACTGGAAAGTCTTCTTTGCCCTTTCTGAAAGTACACAGATACGTCTAAATGCCTCATCCAATACATACTTTGTATGCTGAAAAATTGCAGTTTGATTACAGATCATGTCACCCCAAAATAGGATGAAGACTGAATTTCTTCATAACTTCCATTTTCTTCTGTGTGGAGAGCATTCTTTTCACTTTTTTTCATTCACACTTTTTTGTGTGTGTGTGACTTGCTGTAGGGCTCATGTTGAGACACCTTGGGGTCAGAGCCACGCATTATCATGGAGTAATTAGCTCCTGGGCATCAACTGCCTGTATACAGGCTTTTAGCATGCTAAAAAAAAATTATGTTGCAGGTTATGTTAACTCAAACTGCCTCCCATTCACTGCAAGCTGAGAGCATGCAAATGAACAAAGCTTGTGCATGACCTAGTAGCTAAGTTTAGTGCCTAGGGTAACTTAATCATGCATTCAAGCATGTAGATAGCATACTCATAAACATAATATGAGACTACATCTAAAATTTGTTAGGCTCTGTGCCTGTGTGTGTTACAGCATTTTGTTTTTAAACGCTCCAGTGCTGTGGCTTTTACCAGTTAATTCTGGAAATTTGTTCACTGCAAAAAGGCAAGCTGAGTAATAATAGAATGTGAAGAAAATATGAAATATAATGCAGATTTTAGTAACAAGTGTGTTGGATTTTTAAAGCTGGAAAATTTAAAAGCAATACTTTTCACCTAATATTAATAGATTGTTTTGTGATAAACTAGCTTTTTGGTAACATGAAAAAGGAGGGGAATACAGACTAACTTAATGCTTGTACAAGTTGAATGATGATAAATATCTTAGGGACAGAATTTTCAGATTTGGAATGGCATTTTACTTCTAATGGGTATATATTGGATTGTATTTCTGTTCACTGTATTTCCTGGGCCTCAAGGTGCTTCAAAGAAAAGAAAAATGGTAGAAATAAGAAAAAAAAAAAAAGGAAAATAAAGGAAAAATACAGGAAAGAATAAGTAGGGAAAATACCACTATGTTGATGCACTGAAACTTCTGATAGTCCAAAGCAAAGTCATGGCTGAGACAGTTTGTCATGTACTTGTCGTGACGTTGCACAGCTCCCAACTGGGATTGCCTTGGATGCATCTTCGTCAGCTTTTGAGAGTTTGTAGTTGTGGATTGCTCAGTCTGTTCCTGGCATTGTTCAGTCATTTTGGCTTCACAGTGATCACTCTGCTTTCGTCTCTGGAAGCTCCGGTCCCGTTTTGAGGATGTCACTGCGATGTTTTCATGATCTCACTCCGATGAAGTAGCAGGAGTTGCAACGCTTCTGTGCTCAGAAATAATTTTCTGACAGTTGTGATCTTGGATGGGAGGTATATGTAGGTGAGGCTGTCATTTATGGGAACTCGATTGCTCAAGTCCTCCATAGCTACCCTTCGCAGGTTTCCGTGTGGATCATGGGAATGATGAACTCATTAAAATCTTTGAAATTGCTGGTACTGATGAGCTGAGGATAGGAAATTTGAAAGAGGAGGATTGTCCATATCCAGTAATGTTCTTGCTGGAGTCACAGTGGCTGGGGTAGCTGTGAGGAGGTTACAGCTGGTGCAGTGTATCATCTCACTGCTTGTTTATTTTCTCTTTGGGAGACCTCATGTAGCTTTCCCACAGAAACAGCTCCACTGTAAGCCAATGTGATGTATAACAAACAAACAAAGAGTCTGCATATTCTTATCTTTGTTTTGATATACATAAAGAGGGAAGGCTTTCCAATGTTAAGGAAAAGTTACTTTGCCAAGGAGCTGGTGACTGCTCGGTAAGTGGCGAAGTAAGAAGTTTTAAGGAAGAAAATCATTGTGGGGTTTCTGTGTTTAGATTGAAAACATCGTAAAGAAATTTGAAGAGTAGTGCAAATGGGTGTAAAAGTCTCTTGAAGTTCATTAATATTCACTGTATTTTAAAGGAGGGTTTTTTTCTGGATTTGCATAAGATCAAAACATAGCATTGCACAATTGAGCTAAAGTTAGCCATTGGCAGTTGTAATTTTATACTCAGGCAAGCGAGTGACCTAAGTTGCCAGAGTGTAGGCTCAGTAGTGTAGCCAGCAAAAACATCTCAATATCCACAAAACAGTTTAAGTGGATTGTTTTATTTATAGAAACTGATCAAAGCAGGCCAGGTACAAAAGGGAAGATATTTAAAATAAGCTTTCTAAGGAAATTATTGGAACAGAAATTTCAGGCACTTTTTTTTTTAAACTAATATTTAAAACTGAGGTTATGGTAACTATTGAAACTATTAAACAACTGTTTAGCTCTTAAGGTTTATCCTGTAGTCTCCAGGCTGCTACTGAGCCTCTGAGAATCAAAGGTGTCCTGCTAGGGCGTCTCACGTAAGATGAGAAGTTGAGGACAGCCAGTCTGGCTTCACTGAATAGTGTGATTTGTGGAGTCCTCACATTTTGTTAATTCTGTCAGGTAGAAAGAGACTGAAAAGTCATGTTTCTGGTTTTGACTTCTCAGGGGGTTGTGCCTATTCCTAACTGCTGCAGTGGCCAAGGTTTCTTGAGAGAGTGTTACCCAAGTGCTGTACACCATTTATGAAAGTCTGGTTGCTGATTTTCTTCATCACAGCTGCCTTTAGATATTTTGAGCCTTTAGATATTCATCTGAGTAACTCTAGTTCCAGGACGACTAAGGATCACAGGGCTTCTCACAAGGGAGAGAACAGATTAAAACGAGCAAACCCGTCTGAAGAACGCATTGAAAGTGTAGGCTCTTAAAGCCAAACAGATTTGATGAAGTCGAGGTCCTGTCTGCAAAGAAGTGTTCATTTACTGCTGCAAACCAGTGTGTGCTTGCATGAGTACACTGGTGAAAATAAGCTTGCTGTAGTTCATTTTTACCCCCACTTTGATGGGGGCTGATTCTCCCAGAGGGCCACATTCTCAGCAGGGATGTGGCTAGTACAGAGTAGCACTGTACTGGAAATTCAGCAGAGGCAAAGTCTGTTCCTCCCAGTCTAATCAATGAGCAATGATGTGTTTCTCTTTTTGTTCTCTCTTTCTCATAGATCATTCGCAGTGCTTTCTGACTCGTTTTACATTGTCATTTTAGAACAGACCAGCCGGGTTACCACAGCATTTTAGTAATGTGGCGCTTGATTGTGTGTGTCCTGTGGGACAAGTAGATACTGTTCTTCATGCAACTACCAACGTGCCTTCTGGTTATGCATTTGTCAATTCCAATTTCCTTTTCTTTACTGAATAGTAGGCTGCATCTTTGATTTTGCTTGTTTCATGAGAGTTGTAAAGAGTCCCTGCGCTGCTGTGCATGGGAGGTCAGCCTGCTGCCGTGTTTTGAGCTGCGCTTCAGTAAATAACCTAGTAATGGTGCCTCTGAATTCTCTCGAATGTGAACTTCATGTGTCTGATGTTCATAAACAGAGGTAACCACCAACAGGAAGCACTGCAAATACAAGTTGTTTTGTTAGTGTTGAGCCGTTGTGTGCACTGGGGTTTTGGGGTTTGTGGTAAGTCCTTTACTGGTAACTTCCAGTAAACAGTTATAAGTGTCTTTTTCATAGCAGAATAGTTTGCGTTTTGGGTAATTTGTTTGCTTTGTTGTTGTTGTTGTTTTTTAAATAATTAGTAGCTATAAGAGTTATTATCTTGTGAAGTGTTCAAAGTAGCGCAGTAATGCCTCAAGATTACTCATATATTCTTTAAATATGGTTTTAATGCACAGGAATAAGAGGATCAAGTAAATGAGATTAGGACAATAGACAAAAGTGAATGAGATGGTAGGACAACAAGGGGCAAGGAGAAACCGTGCTATTAACTACTTGGTTTTGGGCAACCAGTGTTAGAACAGTAGTCAGGAGGGTGAAGCTGGTAGTGAAAGTGAGTCAACTTCTGAAAGAAGCATCTTTGTGCGAAAGTAATGATCCTGGGACAAAACTGAGATGGCAGAAATAGTGGTGGGAACACCTGAAGCTATCATGGTAGCAACAGCAAAACTGGGAGGGCTCACTGTCATGACAATGTAGAGATTAAAAGGTATCCATTCTAGGATCTGCAAACGTGAAAGTAAAAGAAATGAAGTGGCATTCTGTGCCCCTGCAGTTGATTAGAAGGAAATAAGAAGGCATAGTATGGATAAAAAGACAACAGGGACCGAAACCACTTTTGAGAGTAGATAAAATGGATTCTGATCAGGATATGCTCTAAATCACCCACCTTTTGTTGGCTCTACATAGATATTTTGCTAAAAATGTGTGAATTCCCTTTTAAGTCAAGGGAATGCGGTTCTAGAAAGGGGGGATGACGTAAGCTGGATGGTAAGTTATTGATGATACTTTAGAATGTGATGGTTGTCGAACATGATGTTACGAAAGTGGCAAAAAACGAATAAAAACAAGTGCCCAAATGAAGTAATCCATGTACTACGTGGTCATGTAAGAGTAGTTCAAAGCTATCAGTAGACAAAATATATTTCTGAAGAGTCTTAGTTCAGGGAATGTCTTACGGATGTACTTTACCCCATTGATTTTGCTGGAACTTCAGTTAAAACTCTTTTCTGAGCAGGAAAATTCTTTCCTAGAACAGTATAGAATATGTTAATTTGGCTTGCCTCCTATTGCCCAAATTTTTCCAGACACATCTAACAAAGGCTTCTTTTTTAACAAAAAGCCCGGGATCTGATGATTATATAAAAGATAGATTTGTGAAAAGTTAATGTTTTTCATGTGTTTACATTTTGGGGGACAGAGAAGGGCTTTTGTCAATCTGTAAACTATCTGAACTAAGCTGAATCTTAAAGGCAAGGAGAAAACACAGATGTCTTCTTGCATTTGACAATTTTACTAATGTTTTTATGCCATTTGAATTGTGATCTGAGGATAGCAATATCTTGGAAAAATTACTAGCTGGGAAAGGAAGTGTTTCTAATTAGAGTTAGATGTTTTAGCTCAAGTTTTGAAGAGGTCCTAGGGTAAGGGTTCCTCTTTGGCTAGGATGCGTATGCGTGTGCATGCTTGTATTTCCTTGGGAATGAACATGAGTTCTTAATGTCAGCTTCAATAAGGTACGTACTTCTCTGCAGGTAGTGAAGGCAGCAAAGATATGAATGGTTGCGCTTCGCCAAAAAGTGTGACTTATATGAGTGGAAAAAGGACTGGAGCTTTCTTCTCTTGCCAGTCAGAAGGAGAAATGCTGTGCCTCAAATGAGTCATTTGACAGCATTTTGGAGATGTGAGATGTGTTCGTACTTCAAGGAAGACAAAGAAAAAGAAAGAAAACCCAACACCCCCAGCCCCCTTTTAACGTGAATCATAAACAAATGTGCTGACCTTGAAAGTAGGGAGGACATCAATTAAACTGAGGTGTCTCATTCACAGAACGGTAGAACCAAAGAACAGTTTGGTTTGGAAGGGACCTTAAAGATCATCTAGTCCCAACCCCCCTGCCATGGGCAGGGACATCTTCCACTAGACCAGGCTGCTCAAAGCCCCACCCAACCTGGCCTTGAACACTGCCAGGGAGGGGGCAGCCACAGCTTCTCTGGGCAACCTGTGCCAGTGCCTCACCACCCTCACAGCAAACAATTTCTTTCTTATATCTAGTCTAAATTTACCCTCATTCAGTCTAAAGCCATTACCCCTGGTCCTATCACTATATGCACTTGTAAAAAGTTCCTCTGCAGCTTTCTTGCAGGCCCTCTTCGGGTACTGGAAGGCTGCAATAAGGTCTCCCCAGAGCCTTTTCTTCTCCAGGCTGAAGACCCCCAACTCTCTCAGCCTTTCCTCATAGTAGAAGTGCTCCAGCCCTCTGATCATTTTTGGGGCCCTCCTCTGGACCTGCTCCAACAGGTCCCCATCTTTCCGCTGCTGAGGGCTCCAGAGCTGGATGCAGGACTCCAGGTGGGGTCTCACCAGAGCAGAGTAGAGGGGCAGAATCAGCTCCCTCAACCTGCTGGCCACGCTGCTTTTAATGCAGCCCAGGATATGGTTGACCTTCTGGGCTGTGAGCTCACACTGCTGGCTCGTGTTGAGCTTCTCATCAACCACCACCCCCAAGTCCTTCTCAGAACTGCTCTCAATCCATTCTCTGCCCAGCCTGTATTTGTGCTTGGGATTGCCCCGACCCATGTGAAGGACCTTGCACTTGGCCTGGTTGAACTTCTTGAGGTTTGCACAGGCCTACCTCTCAAGCTTGTCAAGGTCCCTCTGGATGGCATCCCTTCCCTCCAGCATGTCGAATGCACCACACAGCTTGGTGTCTTCAGCAGACTTGCTGAGGGTGCTCTCAATCTCACTGTCCATGTCGCCGACAAAGATGTTAAACAGTGCCCGTCCCAATACCGACCCCTGAGGAACGCCACTCATCACTGGTCTCCACCTGGACATCAAGCTCTTGACCACAACTCTGGTTGTGCACTGAGTGCTCCATCCATCAAATCCATGTTTCTCCAGCTTAGAGACAATGATGTTGTGTGGGACAGTGTCAAAAGATTTGCACAAGTCCAGTTAGATGATGTCAGTTGCGGTTCCCTTATCCACTAATACTGTAACCTCATCACAGAGGCCACCAAATTTGTCAGGCATGATTTGCCCGTAGTGAAACTATGCTGGCTGTCACCAATCACTTGCTTATTTTCCATGTGCCTTAGCAGAGTTTCCAGGAGGATCTGCTCCTTGAAGGCTGATGAATTTTTCTGCTTGCAGTATCAGCTGTCATTGTTTCTTCATGAAAGGGACAAGGCTAGAGTCTGAATGGAGGTCACAGTCTCTGATCTGAGATTGGATGTCTTTCTAAAATACTGTCCTGGCTCAATTGTGGTCTAGATGTGGGAGTTATAGCATGAGGTTTTTGAGCTTTTGTATGGGTGGTCGGACTGTGATTGTAATTGTCCCTCATCACCCTTAAATCTGCAAAAATATCACAAAACACAAATGTAAAATAAGTCATATTCAGTTGAATATAGTGACTTTTGTGTCCAGTTCATCTGTCATTGTTGAGGGCTATGATGACGTGGAAGCTGGAGAGAGGGATAACTGAGCTCTACAAACAAAAGTGTTGGTTATTTAATTGAAAATATTCTATTATTTCATTCAGAGCTTGAACGGTGGGAATAAAACATTCATACATTACTACAGAAAAGTATTAATACATGCTTGGAGTATCTTGATGGATGGTTAGTTAATGAAACTGGTGAGACTTTTGTGCTGTAATAAAAATGTCTAAATTCAGTATATGCTTTTTAGAACTTTTGCCAAAATAATCTTCTCTTTTTCTGCTAGCATTGTAAATTGCTTAAATAGAAGACACATGTATATTAGCATTCCAGGCTGAGCTAGGGTCTAACATTGTGGCAGTGTTTTTGTGGAGATAAAGTAATCTTATTGAAATTTGCTGTACAAATATTCTCCATTGAAATAAAAAACTGTAAGTTTGGATATCTTTAGCCAGGCAAAGAATTTGATTAATCTTTTTTCTTGTTTTGCTAGAATAACCCCTACACCCCTAGGAGAGGGGAAAAGCACGGTCACCATTGGTCTCGTTCAGGCTCTTACTGCACACCTTAACATTAATTCCTTTGCTTGTCTGAGACAACCTTCACAAGGGCCTACTTTTGGAGTTAAAGGTACATAATATTTGCAGACTCTATGACCTCTTTCAGATTAAAAGGAAATCCTGCTCTTTTTTTGCCCTTTTATTGTCTTTTTTTTTTTTAATTCTCTAGTTACTTCACTAACTCAGTGGGTTGTCTGAATGGTAGCAAATTGTATCTTTAATAAATGTATAACTAATAGATAAAGGTTTCTTGCACACGTCTTCACATGTAAGGTTCATATCTATGTTCATGTACTTAATGTGTATTGATAGTGCAGGCAAAGCCCAAACATGATGAAAGGCATGGGGGTGAGCTAGCCAGGTGGAGTTTTGTGTCCGTACACACACTTCCAGCCACTCCTCTGCTTGGAGACTCTCTAAAATGTCGCTAAATGTTACTGTTTAATTCTTCCTTGAGAATGAGTCCTAAATCCACCTGTATTGATTTGAAATATCCAAACTAAGGAAGCTGGCAGTTATGCGTGTGGTTCAGCTGTGTCTGCATCATGCGTTTGGCTAGGTCTGAACCTCTCTTTTCTGTTCTTCTGAGTTGTATCCCCTAATCACGGGCTGCTGCCTTTTTGCCTAGAAGCCCTTTAAGAGCCTGAGGGCCAGGTAAGAGCCAGAGTTCAAGCCTGTCTTCAATGCTCATAGGAAGTAATGCAATCTTTTTTTTGCCATTTCTCAGCTGAGGTTGGTGCCTCACCAACAAGTTGGGCAAGCACTCCCCATCTGCTCTACTTTGCTTTGCTGAAGTTTAAGTTAACAAGTTTGATTTCAGCTGGAAGGTTCCTGGTGCTTGGTGCTTCTCAGCCAAGACTGGTGCATGTGAGTGCTTTAATCCCTCCACTCAACTTGTGAGAAGGCTACAGCAACTCCTTTGCCTGTGCTCTGGGAGGCAGTGGGGAAGGAATGCTCAGGCAAGGGCATGGAGGATTTGTTCAGAAGCAGTGCTTGCTCGTGACTGCTATGTCTTTCCATCCAACAGCTGCATGTGCATGACAATGTCCTAAATCTGGGCAGGAGCAGAAGGTAACCCTTATCTAGCCAAAGTCTGGGCCAACCATTGTGTGTAGGCTTTCCTTGCGGTTCAAGAATTCCTTTTTTACTGCCTGCTGAAAAAAGCCAGCAGCATTTAAGGAATTCTTGTTTGTTTGGGTGCATCACTGATCCCTGAATAGAAATTAATATGCAGAGAAATGTGTCATCAACACTGTATGTTTCACTTTGTGTGTTTAAGGGTGGTTGGTTTTTTTTCCAAAACTGGTGCGGGTCTGATATGACCATATGCTTTCCTGTGCAGGTGGAGCAGCTGGTGGTGGATACGCTCAAGTGATTCCCATGGAGGAGGTGAGACAGTAGGGGAGGCAGCAAGTCTGTGTCCCTGTGGGAGGGGTGGGTAGGCCGAGGTGGCTGCTGCAGCGCTTGGTCAGTGGCCAGGGTCTGCCTGGAGAAATGAGGTGGTCCTTGCCATCATCTCCACGTGGTCCTTGCCATCTCCACATGGTCCTTGCCATCTGCACGTGGTCCTTGCCGTCGCCTGCTGTGTGACAGGGGGGGCTGTGGAGCAGAGGTGCAAAAACGTTGGACAGATACTGTGTACATTTATTGTAACATCTCAGCTATCCTGCAGGTGCTTCCTGAGAAGAAAGCCCGCTGTCTGCGCATAACATACAAGGCACAGAGCTGACTACTGCTATTTTTTTCCTTTATATCCACATCTATTCCAGAAAACAATGAGAAAGCATTATTCCTCTGGTGGAGTAGAAAAAGGCAGGGAGGCCCAGGGCTGATGGGTTGAGAAAATTTCATTTTCAAACACATATTTAATATTTCTTTTTGTCACTGAATGTGGCAAAATGGACTTTGTTCTTAACCATGCTGACCCTCCCGTGGTAGTCTGAGACATGTCCAGAATACTGCAGAGGGGTGAATTCCACAACTTTTGCTAGATAAGTAAAAGGAGGATGATTTGGCTCAACAACAGTGATAAAACAGAGAAGTCTCCTGTGAAAAGTTGTTTTTCCCAGGTGCAGGCTGTTGGGGAGCTGCAGGGGCTGGGGGTCCCCCTGGGGGTGGCCCGGCAGGGCCCGGCAGCCGGGGCCTGTCCCACTGCCC